CATATTTAGTGTTGCATCAATGAAAAATTAAATATAATTTATTTTAGGCCATCTTGTAAAAGGAGGTTATAAAAAGATTGTCAGGCGTCAATTATTGTCACAGTTTGAGGGCGCACCCTGTTATTTTGGCCTGCAGCAGCTATTGCATTCCATCTATGTGAATGAGGTAAGCTTGCATGACAGTTTGTCATAACAAACTATTACATTTAAGACAAAATAAAATAATAATAATAATAAGGGCATATTTTCACAAATGAACGCATAAGAACCCGGACTACTTTTGGAAAAAGTATGGGGAACATCATTTAAAATAAAAAGGCCATGCAGAACACATTTCTGACAAGTAACCCCCCCTAGTATCAAAGATCTGAAATGTGACATATATGTCACATTGGGCGTTAATGGTAAAGTAACTCTTATTTATAACTTAATTAATTAGGATTATTTTTGTTTTAACATTCTTTGAATTGAAGAATAAAGAATATATTAACTAAATATAATTGAATAATGAACTGAGCAGATCATAATATTTCTAATTGTGCATATATGTCATTCCAGATTTTCTGAGAAATGTTAAGGTTAATGTCCCGATGTGACAATGTCCCGATGTGACAATGTCAAAGCGATATTTATCTTGTTTCATAGCAATATGATCAAGATTTTTTTCAAAACAGGTTCAATGTAATAAAGGACAAATTCTTTAATGTCTTGAAATGTACCATTAGCAACAAAAAACAAGCTTTTGAAATGTAGCTAGTTCGGTCACATGTTAGCCTGGCACATGGACATCTTAGACATGTTGTTATGGCAACACTAAATCACATGACCTGGCCCACCAGACTGTCCAGTGTGTGTCACTGTTGCAAAATGAGGTGCAGGTGATACAATATTACAAGGAGAGAGGGTTTTCTTTAAAAACAAGCATTTTATTTCTCAGCCTTCCAGAAAGACATTTTAAAGAAACAAAAAACTGCTTTCTCAACTTCATGCCTGGTGCTGTGTTCACCAGCAAGGACACACAAAAATGACACCCCTCCCCTCTCTTCCCTGTCACATTTTTGCCCGCCATCCAAATTCAACCTGGCCAATCAGGCCATGAAAAGGGTGAGTGAAGAGTTAAATAAGGCAAGGCAAGGCAAGGCAAGGCAAGGCAAGGCAAGGCAAGGCAAGGCAAGGCAAGGCAAGGCAAGGCAAGGCAAGGCAAGGCAAGGCAAGGCAAGGCAAGGCAAGGCAAGGCAAGGCAAGGCAAGGCAAGGCAAGGCAGGCAAGGCAAGGCAAGGCAAGGCAAGGCAAGGCAAGGCAAGGCAAGGCAAGGCAAGGCAAGGCAAGGCAAGGCAAGGCAAGGCAAGGCAAGGCAAGGCAAGGCAAGGCAAGGCAAGGCAAGGCAAGGCAAGGCAAGGCAAGGCAAGGCAAGGCAAGGCAAGGCAAGGCAAGGCAAGGCAAGGCAAGGCAAGGCAAGGCAAGGCAAGGCAAGGCAAGGCAAGGCAAGGCAAGGCAAGGCAAGGCAAGGCAAGGCAAGGCAAGGCAAGGCAAGGCAAGGCAAGGCAAGGCAAGGCAAGTTTATTTATATATATAGCACCTTTCAACACAAGGCAATTCAAAGTGCTTTACAAAAAACGAAAGACATTAAGAAAATGGCATTTAAAATCAGTCATTAAAAAGAATAGATAATAAAAGAAACATTAAAAGAAAAAATACATGGATAAAAGTTACAGTGCAGTTTAAGATGTGAATAGTTCAATTAAAAGCAGCGGCAAAAAGAAAAGTCTTGAGTCTTGAGAGATTTAAAAGTAGTCAGAGTTGCAGCGGACCTGCAGTTTTCAGGGAGTTTGTTCCAGATATTTGGAGCATAATAACTGAACGCTGCTTTACCATGTTTAGTTCTGACTCTGGGGACAGAAAGCTGACCAGTCCCTAAAGACCTGAGAGTTCTGGATGGTTCATAATTTAGCAGGAGGTCAGAAATGTATTTTGGGCCTAAACCATTCAAAGCTTTATAAACCAGCAGCAGTACTTTGAAATCTATTCTTTGACACACAGGAAGCCAGTGTAAAGACTTCAGAACAGGAGTGATGTGATCCACTTTCTTAGTGTTAGTGAGGACTCGAGCAGCAGCGTTCTGAATTAGCTGCAGCTTTCTAATAGATTTTTTAGTGAGACCTGTGAAGACACCATTGCAGTAGTCCAGTCTACTGAAGATAAAAGCATGGACAAGTTTTTCCAAATCCTGCTGTGACATTAGTCTTTTAATCCTAGATATATTCTTTAGGTGATAGTAGGCTGATTTAGTAACTGTTTTAATGTGACTGTTGAAACTCAGGTCAGAGTCCATGACTACACCTAGATTTCTGGCTTTATCTGTTGTTTTGAACATTGCAGACTGAAGCTCAGCGCTAACTTTTATACGTTCTGCCTTGGCTCCAAAAACCATTACCTCAGTTTTATCTTTGTTTAATTGGAGAAAGTTCTGACACATCCAGTCATTGATTTGTTCAATGCACTTACTCAGTGTTTGAATTGGAGCATAGTCTCCTGGTGAAATTGTTACGTACATTTGTGTGTCATCCGCATAGCTATGGTAACTTATTTTGTCGTTTTTCATTATCTGAGCCAGTGGTAGCATGTAGATGTTAAAGAGAAGAGGCCCCAAGATGGAGCCTTGAGGAACCCCACATGTCATATTTGTCAACTCAGATGTGTATTTACCTATAGAAACAAAGTTGTTTCTGTCCTTTAAGTAGGATTCAAACCAATTTAGAACTGTTTCCGAAAGTCCCACCCAGTTTTCCAGTCGGTCGAGTAATATGTTGTGGTCAACAGTGTCAAACGCAGCACTGAGATCTAATAATACTCACACTGAAGTTCTGCCACTGTCTGTGTTTAAGTGGATGTCATTAAAGACCTTTACAAGAGCAGTCTCAGTGCTGTGGTTTGGACGAAAGCCTGACTGGAACACATCGAAACAGTTATTTAAATGCGAGAAATTACTCAACTGTTGAAAAACAACTTTTTCAATGATTTTACCTATAAATGGGAGGTTTGATATGGGCCTGTAATTGTTCATTACTGAAGCATCTAGATTATTCTTTTTTAAGAGCAGTTTAATGACTGCAGTTTTCAGGGACTGTGGAAAAATACCTGAGTGAAGAGATTTGTTTACTATATGAAGTAGATCTGAGGCCATGCAAGGCAAAACATATTTGAAAAATCCTGTTGGAATAATATCAAGGCAGCAGGAGGAAGATTTTAGAAGTTGAATAATGTCCTCTAGGTTTTTATCATTAATCTGATGGAATTGTGTCATGATGTCTGAATTGATATTAGGTGGACATAGGGACAACACATTTGCTGTACCTGATGCAGAGGCACTGACTGTTTGTCTGATTTTCTGCATTTTGTCAGTGAAGAAGGAGGCAAAATCATTGCTTGCCCTGGTGGATAGAAATTCAGAGGCTACTGGGGGGTTAGTTAGTCTGTCGACGGTAGCAAACAAGGCACGTGCATTGTTTTTGTTTTTGGTAATGATGTCAGGGAAGAAAGACTGTCGTGCGTTTTTCAATTCCAAATTATAAAGGCCAAGTCTTTCTTTATAGATTTCAAAGTGAACCTGGAGATTTGTTTTTCGCCACCTACGTTCAGATTTTCGACACTCGGTCATGGCCTTTCTCCATGGAGATATTTTCTTCCCAGTCACTTCCTTTACCTTAGTTGGAGCAATGGCATCTATAACATTTTTAATTTTTGAATTAAAATGATCTACTAACTCATTTACTGAGATGTTAGCAGGGGCAAGTGTGGAAGAAAAATTCTGAGTAAACATTTCCCTAGTATTTTCAATTAAATATCGCTTTGTGGTTACCTCTTTTTGAACATTTTTGTGAACAGAAATAGAGCTCTCAAAGAACACACAGGAATGATCAGAGAGTGTAACATCAGTCACCACAACCTTAGAGATATTCAGACCCTTTGAGATAATTAAGTCCAGAGTGTGTCCCTTATTGTGCGTGGGCTCCGTCACATGCTGAGTCAGTCCATAGTTATCAAGAACACAAAACAGTTCTTTGGCCCCTCTGTCCTGGGGGTTGTCAACATGGATGTTAAAATCACCAACAACGACTAGACGATCAAAGTCAATACACACTATAGACAGCAGTTCAGTAAAGTCATCAAAAAAGCTTGCACAGTATTTGGGTGGTCTATAGATATTTAGGAACATATGTTGATTCAAACAGACAACAAAGCAGCGGCGGCCTACATAAATCGCCAGGGAGGTGTTCGATCAGCGCAGCTGCTGAACACACATCCTACACAGCCAAATGGACAGCGTTCCATGTGGTGTGCAAGGAAAAGCCTGGACCCCGTTGGGCCCCCTGCCTCGTGCTGTCGTTCCTCCAGCTGTTGCTGGACAGGAATTGGCTTATGGCACGGTAAAAACATATGCTGCTGCCATTTCATCTTGCCACGTAGGTTTGGGGTCAGCACGGTGTTTAGTCACCCGCTGACAAAACGTTTTCTACGGGGAGCACGGAGACTCAGACATGTGTCACGCGCTTTGGCGCCTCAATAGGTTTTTGGCTTTAGTACTACGCGCACTGAGTAAAGCTCCATTTGAACCTTTGGATCAGGTTCCCCTAAAGTTCTTGTCAGCCAAAGTATCTCTGCTCTTGGCTCTGACATCAGCTAAAAGGGTGAGTGATTTGTCTGCTCTCTCTGTGGCTCCGTCATGTCTCCAGATCCAAGGAGATGGCAGCTTAGCTGTTTTGCGCCCTAAAACGGCTTTTATGCCAAAGCTCTTTTAGATCGAGAGTGATACCTTTGGATGGCTTCTTTCCTCCTCCTCACACATCAGAGGAAGAAACCACATCTCATCTCCTCCGTCCCGTGCGCGCGCTGTCATGCTATTGTGACCGGACGTCACGTCTCCTCCCTCTGTGACGCTGCTTGGCACCATGCCAGCGCACCTGCTATTTAAGTGGAGGAGACAAATCTGCTCCCTCCCGCTTCTCCTTTGTGGCCGCGTGGATTGTTTGGCGTGGCAGCTCGCGCATCACACTCTCTACCAGACAGGTAAAACATCTTGCATTCTGTCATTTATTCATGGGAACGAGCGACACCCGGCTTGACACTACTCTGTCTTAGCGCAGCTGACGCCCGGTGCGTTTGAGGAGGATTGGCTCCTCCGGAGGTTCCCGGTCTTGCAGTGTTGCAACTATTGGTGAGTTGCCGTTGTCTGCCGTATTCTCACCTTCAGCTTGGTTCCTCTGCAGGGGCGGCGCCAGGGGGGAGCTAGGGGGTGCTGAAGCACCCCCCAGGATAGCCAAAGCACCCCCTAAGCACCCCCAAGAAATATGTTTTTTTTATTATTTTTTTTTTATTATTATTTTTATTAAATGAAATTAGAAAAATCATTGATTACATCAATGCAAATGTGAAACAAACACATGTTTGACCAAAAACATAAAGCCAACACAGGTGATATGATTAGGCCAATGGCCAGCAGCACCCATTCGATTTTTGACCGACCCATAGGCTAAATTACTTTGTGACACTTGAGTGACTTCCTGTTAGCTAGAGCGCCAAATTATTTGCTAACAGCAAAGTGAAAAAATTATCGTTTTTTAGTCTTTAAACGTCCATTTGTGGACACTCAATCAAAACCACCTGAAAGCGAGAGGGATTCTGCACATAATAGCATAGCCTCGTGAATACAAGTAGCTTACTTCTGGGTCTCTGTGTTTCATTCAAGCTCTGCTCTGTGTGTGTTTGGCACGAGAACATTTTGTGTGCGTGCGCGAGCGAGCGAGAGAGAGAGCTCGCGCACCGGTGGGTATCTACCGGAGATCGTTGTGGTTAGCATTCGGTGCTAGCTAGCCAAGCTAACAGATATAAGGAGCTTTTTCCACAACAAGGTGGAGGGAGAACTATCTCCTGTCAGACTGAGAGTCTCAGATAACCTCAGCTCAGGTGAAGTAAAGGACTCTCAGTGTTTAGATAGTTAACTTTAGTCTAGTTATCTCAGTGGGTCTCAAACGGTTTGTTTTAAAAGGGGAGTGATTTGTAAAATATCTATAAAGAAATAAAAAATCTGTTTACAGTTCTGTTTCATATGGGTGTTGAGAGATGTATCCATAGATCTCTTAATGTTGCTCTCAAAGTGCACCAGATTGATGCTTTTAACTTCAATATTTAAAAAAAATCTTCCCGGGGGAGCTTGCCCCCGGACCCCACTAGAGGAGGTGAGGTCCCTCCTAGAGGAGGTGAGGTCCACCCCTCACTTGTAAAAATAGCACTTTACCCCTGCTTATGCCGTGAGCTGATTATCGAGCCTTCATTGTGTGCGTGTGGGGAGTGTTGCAGTAGAAAATGCAACTGTAGCGCTGGTGCATTAATGGGAAACCCTTAATGTTTGAGCACCCTCTATGAAACGTCAAGCTACCCCACAGCACCCCCTAGAGAAAATCTCTGTCGCCGCCACTGTTCCTCTGGTGTACTGACTGTTATTCATGTCACAGTGGGATTTGGCCGTGGGATTGTTGGGTCTCTCTCTCCCTTCCCTGTGGGCTCTGTGGCTGCAACTGGCCGCACAGGCTGGTATGTATGAATTTCCCCATAGATAACTTTTAATTCAATAAACTTAAGTAGGCTATTCACCAGTCATTTTAAACCTCTTTCCAGGGGTGCCATAAACATTCTCCCTTCCTGGTGGGCTCTGTGGCAGCGCCTAGCTGTAAAAGTTGGGACGCCGTAACCACTCTCCCCACCTCTGGTCATCATTCCCCCACCCCCCTTCCTGCTGTTTTGACTCGGCGAGCTCTCGCACCGAGCTGTGGCGTCATATAATTGACAGGCCCTGACTACTCCGTGTTGGACTGTCACCAGGGCCGTTTTGAGGTCGCGGAATTGCAAGGACACTTATTGTTTAGTTGATTTATTTTGATTAGCTGTTTTGTGCATCTCATGTTTTGAGTACATTCATAGTATTTTGTTATTGTGTGATTTTGTTTATTTTCTTTTGTTAACGTTTGGTTTAATTAGTTTACTCAAGTCTTTGTTGTTTACGGTTATTTAGATTTGGTTTATTTGAGTTGTTTTCCTTTTGTTTATTCATCTCCAACCAAGTTGTATAATCGTACTGATTTTTAACTGTTTCCCTTGTGCCGGACAGGTGCTGTGGGCTCGAGGCGGCAAACCAATCCCTGGTGGTGGTGTTCTTCACGTGTCCGTTTTGTTTGGTGTGCAGTGTCACGGGTGATTTTGATTTGACCCCTTCCTCCCCGTTTTGTTAATTGCCGCCGTGGTAAGCCCCAGCACTGTCCTTCTCCCTCCTCCCTGGAGAACTTTTATAACATTATATTGTGTACTATTAGGAATATAATTATGTACCAATAAAATAACAATTGTTGTAATATCCTTTATACTGTCTCTGCCTGTGGTGTTCAAACGAACCTGATTTTATTTTATTAAATTGTATAACTTTAGTTTTTAGTAATTTCCTGGGGCGAAACTCCCCCAGGTGGCGTTGTCAGCAAACCAAGCATTCTACATGAGCACCACACCACCACATTCTGGCGTTGTCGGCAGGATCACCACGTTAAAGGGGCAGAGACACATTTTTGTTTAGTTTTCTTACCTTTTTGATGTTTAGATTCAGCAGTAAGTGTCTTTTCCCATATATGTAATTGTAGAGCCAAAACAGCAGTGTGTAATAAGGGGATCCCTCTCTTCATACCATTTTGTGTGGCTTTGGTGTAGCTTTCCTCAGTTGTTATGGAGGACGAGATGCAGCAGCTCCGCGAGCTGGTGATGGAGCTTAGGGCAGACAACGAGAAACTTCGTCAGGAGCATGCTGCTTCGCGGATGGACTCTGGTGGTGTTCCTTCTGCGCCGGGTCGTCCTGACCTGTATGCAGGTGTCGCTGCTGCTGAGCGTGTTATTGTTATTCCAAGGGATCGTAAGTGTCCCATGTTTAGTGGCAAGACAGGCATGGGCGTAACTGAATGGATAGAAGAAGTACAGGCATGTGTGCGTGCCCGCCATCTTTCTGCTGCGGACCAAGCCCTCTACATATTTGATCATTTGGAGGGAGAGGCGAAGGAGGAGATCAAGTTTCGCCCTAGGCTAGAGCGAGGAGACTCAGACAGAGTGTTCACCATCTTAAGGGAGCTTTATGGTTGTGCTCAGTCTTATGTCACCTTACAACAAGCTTTCTTTTCTCGGCACCAACTTGAAGGTGAGACCCTTCAGGAGTTCTCCTTAGCCCTCATGGCTTTAATGGCTCAGGTTGAGCAGCATGCACCTCATGGGATGCCCAATGCAGATGTTCTCCTTCGGGATCAGTTTATTGAGCATGTTCTGGACAGTTCTCTCCGCCGGGAGCTTAAACAGCTTGTTCGTCGCCAGCCTACAGCCACCTTGTTGGAACTTCGTGGTGAGGCTATTAGGTGGGAAAGGGAGGGTCTTCCAGGGGGTACTAGAGGGCGTAGCTCCTCTCTGCCATCAGCTTATGTTCTTCAGTATGGAGTGCAGGGTCGCTTCCAACCCCCCCAGGTTCACTTTCAACCCCCCCCCCTCAGGTCAATCCACCTGGGCCAGGGTTGAGTGAGTTGATGGATCTTATGAAACGTCAACAGGAGCAGCTGAACACACTTACCCAGACTGTAGCCTCCCTGCAGATGCCTCGCTTCCAAGGCCAAACTTCTAGTAGTGGTCCTTTAATATGCCGAAGGTGCCAGCAGCCTGGACATCTTGCTCGGGAGTGTGATGGTGTGCGGGCTCCCCCCCGACATCGTAGTAATTCTGTTGCTGGCGTTAACTCCAGTGCTTCTCTGCCAGCCCATCCCTCCTACCGGTCGGAAAACTGAAACCCACTGAGCTGCCGAGCCACAGCTCAGTTGGGGAGTCTACAGGTTCACTAGAAGGTGCCGCAGCTGACTTAATTGGCTCTTGTCCAAACATTAATGTTATGATCGGAGGTGTAACTGTCCCGTGCTTGGTGGACACTGGTTCCATGGTGTCCACAGTCACTGAGAGTTTATTTTTGGAGAAGTTTGCACCTTGGGGCTTTGATCGCCTTCGCTCTTGTCAACGGCTTAGCCATTCCATACATTGGCTACTTGGAACTTGATGTAGAGCTGTGTGGTAAAGTGATGTCCCGTTGTGGGATCCTCATCGTTACGGACCCGCCTGGTGCTGTGTCTCCTGTCCCTGGAATCCTGGGGATGAATGTGATTCGTCGCTGCTATCGAGAGCTCTTCAGGGCCTTTGGCTCTTCTCTTTTTGACACACCCATCGTGTCACGGGCACCTGTTGCTGTCATCGCAGCTCTACAGGAGGTCCACCAGTCTCCCGCTCAGGTTCCAGGGAAACTCACTGGCATTGCGAGGGTCCGGGGAAAGCATGCAGTGCGCATACCTGGAGGGTTGATGAAGCTGGTTGCTTGTACCTGTCCTGAACAGCTTTCTGGTCAAAGTGCTCTGTTCGAGCCCCCAGAGTCGGGCTTACCAGCTGGGCTGCTCGCCTCACCATGCCTCGTACAGGTTATCCGGGGTACAGCATACTGTACGTCCCTGTGGTCAATGTGGGGACGACCGAAGTTCTGCTTTACCCACGTACTGGTCTTGGTGTCTTGAGTGCTGCCCAGGTTGTCAGCCTTCCCGCAGGTGTGACTGAGGTGGGGTCATCCTTTGCAGCTGTTTCCTCTCAGACAGCTGCCCCCTCAGTGCACGATAGGTTGGATACATTGGACATGTCTTCATTGACTGAGTGGGAAAAGACAGGCGTAAAGTCTTTGTTGTTCAGGTACCAATCTGTCTTCTCAGCCCATGATGGAGACTTGGGCTGTACAACTCTCATTTCGCATGACATCCCCGTACATGATGATGTGCCTGTCCGACAGAGGCACCGCCGCATCCCTCCATCGGAGTACGAAGCAGTGAAGGCCCACATTAACCAACTCTTGGAGTCCCAAGTCATTAGGGAGAGCTGCAGCCCCTATGCATCACCAATTGTTCTGGTGAGGAAAAGGGATGGGAGCTTGCGCTTGTGTGTTGACTACCGCCTCCTCAACAGCAAGACCAGGAAAGATGCCTTCCCCTTGCCTCGCATTGAGGAAACCTTGGATGCACTTTCTGGGGCCTGCTGGTTCTCCACCCTTGACCTAGCCAGTGGTTACAATCAGGTTCCTATGGCAGAGCAGGACCGGCCCAAGACCGCTTTCTGTACTCCTTTTGGCCTCTTTGAGTTCAACCGCATGCCCTTCGGGTTATGCAATGCCCCTAGCACCTTCCAGCGGCTGATGCAGAGGATGTTTGGCGACCAACAGGGCCAGTCGCTACTGCTCTATCTTGATGACATCATCGTCTTCTCATCCTCTGTTGAACAACATCTGCAAAGATTGGAAACAGTGCTTGGTCGGCTTGAGAAAGAGGGCCTAAAGGCCAACCTTCAGAAATGTGTCTTCTTCAAACAGGAGGTTGGATACTTGGGCCATGTCATCTCCAGCCAGGGTGTCTCCACAGACCCTAGGAAGATTGAGGCAGTGGCAAATTGGAAATGCTCTCATCATGTTTCAGAGCTGCGCTCCTTCTTAGGTTTTGCCAGCTATTACCGTCGCTTTGTAGAGGGTTTTGCAAAGTTGGCAGGACCTCTGCATCAGTTAGTGGCAGAACTGGCAGGCACCAAGTCAAAGAGGAGATCAAATCATCTCTTGGATGCGGCATGGACACCTCAGTGTGAGGAAAGTTTTGAGTCCCTGAAATCCAAGTTGGTCTCAGCTCCATTGCTGGCTTATGCAGACTTTTCACGCCCCTTCATCTTGGAGATTGATGCCAGTCATAGTGGCCATGGGGCTGTCCTTTCCCAGGAGAAGGACAGGGTTGTGAGACCGGTGGCTTATGCCAGCAGGGGTCTTCGGCCCACTGAGCGCAACATGTCAAACTATAGTTCCATGAAGCTGGAATTCCTTGGGCTCAAGTGGGCCATGACCGAGAAGTTTCGAGAGTACCTACTGGGGCATAAGTATACTGTTTACACCGACAACAACCCGTTGAGTTACATCCAGTCTGCCAAACTGGCCGCCACGGAGCAACGGTGGGCGGCCCAGCTTGCGTCTTTTGACTTTGTTGTCAAATACCGCTCTGGTCGCAGCAATGGGAATGCTGACGCACTTTCACGGCAGTATGTGCCTGGTACTTTGCTCCCTGCCAACCTTCACCAAAACCCATCCTCAGGTCTTGTGGTGCCTGCAACTCAGTCTTCGGTCTCGGTTCTTCCAACCCACTCGGCAACCGATCTTCGTGCCTGGCAGGAAGATGACCCACTCCTCGAAGAGGTGTTGGTGTTTTGGCGACGTAAGGCTCAGCCTACCTCGGCGGAGAGGCAGCAGCTTCGCCGTCCAGTCATGGCGCTTTTACGTCAATGGGACCGCCTTGTGGAGAACGACGGAGTCCTTTTCCGACGAGTGTTCCGCCCTGATGGAGGTGAAGAATATCTTCAGCTCATTTTGCCTGCTGTTCTCAAGCAGGAAACATTGAAGCAGTTACACCAAGAGCATGGCCACCAAGGAATCGAAAGGACTACGGAGTTAGTCAGACAACGATGCTATTGGCCGGGAATGTCCTCGGATATCAAGAGCTGGGTCCAGGAGTGTGAACGTTGCCAAGTGGCAAAAGACTCGGGGCATGTATCCCATAGCTTTATGGGCCACTTGCTTGCCTCACGACCCAATGAAATATTGGCAATAGATTTCACCTTGTTGGAACCCTCCCTGAACGGGCTGGAG